TTTTTCTTTGATATAGAAAGACTTTTCTTTTCTCTCTCTCTTTTTTTTTTGTTTTTTGATTCAGAAAAAATTGTTCCCTGAGTACTGTCAATTAATTGAAAGCTTTTAATTAAGCTTTCTTGTAATTGAAATAGTTGGAAGCTTTTCTCTCTGTATTTATTGCTTACAATTAAAATCATTAGAGTTGAAAAATAAAATAAAAAAAATAAAAAAAGGAGGATAAGATTGAAAATAATTATGGTTCATTGATGATCGTTAATGATTTTATTATTGACTTGTATATGTACGTCAAGAAGGGATTGATTGTCAGTTTGTTTTCAAGTTTGCTATAAATTATTTAGTGCTCGACTTTATTTTTCTTTTTTTTTTACTTTCAACTATACGTCAATACTCAATATACATTATTTTTTTGAATTATTTCTATTTTCGAATATTTAATATCAATTTATTTTTACAAATTTTAAATTTATTTATTAAATTATTATAAAATTTATATTTGGAATATTTTTTTTAATTTTTAATAAATTAACAAAAAGAGAATATTTAATAGAAATATGTACAGAAAAAAAATTTTATTTCACATTTTGTAATTAGTATTCTTTACGGCTGTCAAAGTCACGAGTGCAGTTGACTTTGTAATACTCCAACTGAATGTAAACGTCAGTTTAAATTTATAGCATTTATATATATATATATATTTTCCATTGTTCCAAACGAATCCTTGAATATAAAGAAAAATCAGTTCGAGATGAAAATTCTCTGCATTTATTGTTTATTACATCTCAATTATTGATTGCGACTGAAGTTTTGATAAAAAATGAGAAAAAAAAAACAAATTCCACTATCCAAAATTGATAACAGAATGATAAATTCCGGTGATATTAACAGCGGAAATAATTTTTTCTTTTATTATTAATTTTTGTAATATTTTTTTTTTTAATAAATAAATATTTATTTTTTATTTAATTTATTACTAGTTTTGTAAATAAATTATTATTTAATTATTATTATTATTATTATTATATTATTATTATACTATATTTTATTATATTATATTATATTATATTATATTATATTATTATTATTATTTAATTATTATTTAATTTATTATTAAATTAAATGTTTTTATGGAAGAAATTTTTTTTTTTTTTTTTTTTTTTTTTTTTGTAAAAAAAAGAAGGTGCTGGTAATTTTTTGGGGGGGGGGGAGGGGTTGGAAAAATGTTGTAATATTTTATTTCTTACATTTACCTTGTATATGCAATTTTGTGAGGAAATTTTTTTTTTTTTTTTTTTGCCCCCGTGACTAGAATTGGAAACGACGCCGCTATGCGGGAAATTTGAACTGGCACAGGTAATTCAATATATTAGAGAATAATTTCTCGGAGACCCAAAATGCTGAAATGTGGACACCACCATCTCTAGAAGTTTAGCCCCAAAATTACCAAGTCGGTAACTCAGAACTCAAGCGTGGAATTTTCCACTTGAATGCTTACACTTAATTCACTTATTTACAGGCAGTCGAACACTTAACAAATAATCACAACTAAGAATTTCACTAAAATTATTATTATTATTCTCATTATTATTTCAAATTATTATAAATTTTCCTAAAAATTTCATTGAAATAATAATAATAATAATAATATAATAATAATAATTATAATAATAATTACCTATTATTATTATTATTATTATTTCAAATTATTATAAATTTTCCTGAAAATTCCATTGAAATAATAATAATAATAATTATTATTATAATAATAATTATTATTATTATAATAATAATAATTATTATTATTATAATAATAATAATTATTATTATTATAATAATAATAATTATTATTATTATTCTTTATTTATTTTTTTCTTTTGGGGGGGACATTTGGTTTTGCATATTATTATTTGGTTTTTGAATTATATTTTTTTTTTTGGAAATTATATTTTTGTCACGCGTGCATTAAAAAAGAGATATATAATTCGGTAGCAAAACTTGAGATTATAATAATAATTTCACTCTCTTAATTAAAGGCATATTCAAGTGTTGAGACATATGCAGGCGACTGTAAATTCACAAAAGGGATTGCATTCTTTTTTTTTTTTTTTTTTTATTTTTCAAAACTTTCTAAAAGCTCAATGCAAAGACTTGCACACCTGCTCCTTTAGAAACAGATGTCAGTGTCGGTTAGAAGACTTGTAGCTATTTTTGAATTTTCTATTCAAAAACTTTTCTATTCCGCGTCACCAGATTATGAAGAGGATTTATATATTCCACGCACAAGCCTTTCACGTTGCATATATTCGTATATATGTGTAATGTATTAAAATATAATATAGAGTTCATCATAAAAAAAAAAAGAAAAAAAAATTGAATAATATACCTATCACATCAAAAAGAAATTCTTTTTTAATGAAAGAAAAGAAAATAAAACATTTCCTTTGAATGTCATTCAAGGCGATTCATTCACGTGAAATTGATTCTAATTCTTTTTACTTTTTCCATAAGAGAGCCAATAGAATTTCATTATAAAAAAAAGGGGCAAATATGTACTTTTTCCTATATGTGACATTTCAATAAAATAAATGAATTTTTAAATTCACTACCAGATTTTCTGAGGGTAAAATTTGAATAGAAATCTCCTTTACGAGTATGTGTGTGTGTATGGATATGCGTAAAAATTAAAAAAAAAATTTACCCAGGTGCGAATTTCGGTCGGCCGCCAGAGTTGGTTCGTCGGCCCATGGTCGGCCCAACTCTGGCTGCCGACCGGTCGGCAGCCAGAGTTGGGCCGACCATGGTAAATATTTGCACCCAAAGTTGGGCCGACTATGGCTGCCGACGTCGGCAGTCACAGTTGGGCCGACCATTGCAGCCATAGTTGGGCCGACTATGGGGGATTATGGTCGGCACAACCTTGGCAGCCATAGTTGGGCCAACCTTGGCTGCCATAGTTGGGCCGACCAGGGGGGGTAATGGTCGGTCCAACTATGGCAGCCACAGTTGGGCCGACTAAGGGGAAAATGGTTGGCACAACCTTGGCAGCCATAGTTGGGCCAACCTTGGCTGCCATAGTTGGGCCGACCATGGGGGACAATGGTCGGTACGACCTTGGCAGCCAAGGTCGGTCCAACCTTGGCTGCCATAGTTGGGCCGACCATTCTTCCCCATAGTCGGCCAAACTATGGCAGCCACAGTTGGGCCGACTAGGGGGAGAATGGTCGGCATGACTTTGAAAACCGCAGTTGGGCCGACTACGGGGAATGTAGTCAGCATGACTGGCAGCCGAGTATATCGATGGTCGGTATATCAAGGATTACAGAATTATTTTTCTCAAAAGAAACACGATCCCAGGTGCGAATTTCGGTCGGCCGCCAGAGTTGGTTCGTCGGCCCATGGTCGGCCCAACTCTGGCTGCCGACCGGTCGGCAGCCAGAGTTGGGCCGACCATGGTAAATATTTGCACCCAAAGTTGGGCCGACTATGGCTGCCGACGTCGGCAGTCACAGTTGGGCCGACCATTGCAGCCATAGTTGGGCCGACTATGGGGGATTATGGTCGGCACAACCTTGGCAGCCATAGTTGGGCCAACCTTGGCTGCCATAGTTGGGCCGACCATTCTTCCCCATAGTCGGTCCAACTATGGCAGCCACAGTTGGGCCGACTAAGGGGAAAATGGTTGGCACAACCTTGGCAGCCATAGTTGGGCCAACCTTGGCTGCCATAGTTGGGCCGACCATGGGGGACAATGGTCGGTACGACCTTGGCAGCCAAGGTCGGTCCAACCTTGGCTGCCATAGTTGGGCCGACCATCATAAAGTAAATTTCTCTCCTACCATTGACAAATGTAAAATGTTTTTGTTAATTTACTTGTAATTGATTAATTTAAAAAGAAAAAAGGTTATATGTGATTAATTTATTATTTTGAATTACTAACTTTAATTTTTTTCAAGCTGTAGCTTATAACATTTATTTTTCTCCGTGACTCATATGTCATTGCGTAGTGTAGTGGTTAGCGTATTAGACTGCGGTGCGTTAGGTTGCGAGTTCGATCCCTGCGAGCGTTAAAAATTTTAATTTGTATATATGTATGTTTACGATTGCGTTTAGTGTTTAAGTATATAAAATAAATGTATAATGAATTTAAAATGATTACTAATATATGTTATTTGTATAACAAATTTTTATATTTTAATGTTTATTGTCGGCAAAATTTTAGCTGCCAAGGTTGGCCCAACCATGGCAGCCATAGTCGGGCCGACTATGGCTGCCGACCGTCAAGTTGGATGGTCGGCAGCCAAGGTCGGCCCAACTATGGTACCCATAGTTGGCCCGACTTAGTCGACCATAGGTCGGCCGACGTTATCAATTCGCTAGTTGGCCCGACCTCTGGCTGCCCGAGGTGGGCCGACCATGCACATGGTCGGCCCGACCATGGGCCGACCGACAATTCGCACCTGGGTAGGAAGAAAAGTAAAATTAATTATTTCACCCAGAGAAATATATTTTATTTAAATCAAATATAATATATTTGAGTTAAGTAAACGTATATTTGTCTCACAGCCTACTAGCCTATTTATTTGGCGTAAATAAATTTTTTTATTTATTAAATAAATATTTAATTTTGAATCAAATAAACATTTATTTCAATCAAATAAAAATTTATTTGAATTAAATAAATATTTTTTAGGCTTTATCATTTCTCTGGGTGAAGATCGAATTTTATAAGGCATAACTATATTTAATCGAATTAAATTTTTTTTTTTCAATATTATTTTTATATATAATTTTTGTTTAAAAAAAATATTGCATGCATTTATTTTATTTTGTAATAAAATTTTTTTTTTATTTCATTTGCAATTGTTTTTAATGTTCGTATATATTTTTTTCTGAGTAATTATTTGTAATAAATATTGTTTCGTAAATTATTATTATTATTATGTATTTGAATTTTTAATAATAATAATAATTTTTTTTTTTTGAATTATTTAATGTTTTAGAATTGCAGCATACGGCTCATGTCAATGAAAAAAATGAGCGAAATAACACGAAGAAACCTATGTTACCAGCGATAGATTTATTTCCCTCGGTTTTTCATTTTGATTATGCAAATCAATCTAATATGTCTTCTTTACTTGAAAATATGAAATGCATAAAAAGGTAATTAACAAAAAAAAATTTTTTTTGCAATCACACGGCTTAACCAGTATTATTTTTTGTGCACTGGTCAATTTTTTTTTTTATTAATTATTATTATTAACTCACGAGTTGTATTTTTTCAACACTAATTTTGCACAATTTATTATTATTATATTATTTTTATTGATATTATTATTATTATTATTATTATTATTATTATTATTATTATTATTATTAATATTAATATTATTTTCACTATTAAAATTACTATTAATATAATATAATAATTATTACTAATTTTGTTATAATTTTTAATAATTGCTTTTTTTATTACTAATCACATTTGTTGTAGTTTACAACTATTTTTAATATGATAGAAATTTTATTTTATTGAATTAATAAATTAGTTAATCAAATTCTTAATATTTGTTTATTTATATAAAAATAAATTTTTTTCGTTAATAGAAAAATTTTGTAATTTTTATATTTTTATTTTATTTTTAGAGTTTAATTTAAAAAAAAAATTTTTTGACAATGAAAATAAAATTAAATGAAAAATTTTATTATATTCTTGATATTTTTATTTTATGGGCTTTAGAAATAAATGTGTATTAAATTAATATTTAAATGTGAATTTTAATAAAATATTAAATTTCAAACAAAATGGAAACAAATAAATATGATTTAATCGAATATTGAGAATTTGATAAACGTGAATTTACTTTTTAACATTAGTATTTTAAATATATAATTTTTTGGTGTTTGGGGTATTTTTGTCAATATATATATATATATATACTGTAAAGTTGCAGCTGTGAGATTTATTTTTCATAAGAAAAAGATAAATAATTTCCAATTTTCATGTTTTATTTAAATTTAAATGTAAAATTCAGAAATTATTTAAATTAAATATATTTTTTTTAATTGATAATTACTAATTTTAAATTATTAATAAAATTGCTGCTAAAAATTAGCTTCAACTTTTATAAAATATAGTAAATTATTGATATAAAATTTGTAATTTATGATTATAAAGGTAATTAATTACTAATTGATATTTAAGAAATATATATACATATATGATAATAATTTGAAATTAATTACGTATAAAGTTGAGTTAATTACGATAATTATGTAAAATTAGTTATTTACGATTATGAAAAATTAATTATTTATCGATTATTAGTGAAAAATTGCAATTAGAACAATGACGATAAATTAATTAATTATTACAAATTAAGGTTTCTAGTGCAATTAGTTAATAATAAATTAAAAATTTATAATAAATTAATGCAACTAATTAATAATAAATTAATAATAAATTAATAAACTATTTTTTTTTGAGATGAGCATAATAGTGAAAAATAATATATTGGCAAAAATTATGTTTTCTTCTCTCATATATATTTTTCTTTTCATTAAATAAAATGGGATTAACCTGAAAAGGGGAAAATTGTAAAATTTGAAATAGACTTATATTTTTGGAAAGTCCTACAAATTTTTCCCTATTTAATGAATATATTTGGAAAATGTTCTATTCATTCGTTGAAAATGTGTTCATAAAATTTAAATTCTAGTATAATATAGTTTTGCTTCACTGTATATATATAGATATATAGATATATAATGGTAAAAGGGGTTTGGGTATAGACTATAAGATTCGAAATTGCAAGCCATTTACGTCCTATTGTCTGGTTATTAAGCGGGAAGAACCTTTCTAATTTAAGCAGTGTCTTCATTTGGGAAAATTGTCTTTCATAAGCATATTTGAATTACAGTAATATAAGTTCAACTATTAATGACTGCTACGAAAAGCCAATGAAAGCAGCATTATTAAAGGAGTCCATCCATCAGGCCTTGAGTTGGATTTTGATGTCTTATCGAAATCTTCCAAAGGTGAGAAGAAATAATTTTTTTTTAATTTTTCATTTCAAAAATTGAAATCCAGATTAATTAAAATATAATTAGTATTTTGAGTTTTTATTAATTCGAATATTTTTAATTAATTTAATTTGATTTCGTTTTAATTAATTCGATTTAATTAATTTTTATTTTAATTTCTGTAAATTTTGATATTTAATTAATATATACGGAACTAAAAATAGTGTTCCATCCATTAATGTACAATTAATACGATTTGATATATAATTTAATAATTTAATTATTATTTATTTTATTATTATTTATTATTGGTATTATTATTTATTTAATTAATTAATTAATTAATTAATTTAATTAATTTGATATATAATTTAATAATTTAATTATTATTTATTGTATTATTATTTATTAATTATCTCGCGTAATCAGTTTGATTGTATCAAAAATGAAATTAATTAAACTTAGTAAAATTGAAATTTCGATTTAATCAACAAAAACGAGACGTTGAATTATGGATTCTAATTTTTGAGCCGCCCATATTTTCGACGAATAAAAAAAAAAAATGAAAAATGAAACTTGCGAGGGAAACAAAAAGTAATATATACATTTGAGTTTAACGTCCTTCTGACTTTATTGATTACTGGAACCTTATAAATTCAGTGTGTTCTCACAACATCTCAGCGATAATATCATAATATTTTATGCTCCTAATGGCGATGGAAATTATACCCGTTCATTGTTAATTTTTATTTATCTACTTCAGTTACAATTTAAATTTCTTTTTTTTTTATACAAAGTTGCACGCAAATATCATAAGTCCGAATGTATGATCGTCAAACGTAATTTCTATTTATGTTGATTATTATCAGTTAACAATGAAAACTAATTACAGAGTCATTTTCTATTCTACTGATTTTATCGTTTTTTTTTCTATATCAATTTCGCCATTTGGAATATAAAAAAAAAAAATTCTTTTTTTCCTCCTTTCTAAGAATTTTATTATTTTTATTTAATTTTTTTAAAATTATTTATTTCAATATTATACGGACAAATAAAATTGTAATTTAATTATTTTTGTAATTAAAAAAATAATAATTAAAAAAATAATTATTAAAAAAAAAATAAAAAAATAATTAATAAAAATGGTTCTTGGAAATAATTTATTCTATAATTAGTTATTATATTAACTGATATAAATAAATTAGTTCTTTATTATATTCCACATTTTTTTTTTTCTCTATTTCTAATTTCCAATTATTACTTATGTTAATTATTCACAAGTTTTTTTTCTGTTTAAATTTATCTGATTGGATTAAATTGTCAAGATTAGAATCGTAAGAGAGAGAGTTTTTTTTTTTAACTCCATTTGGTGGGGAAAAAAAAAATAGTAGACGCGCGTCTAAAAAAACTGTTTTCCAATCGATTTTCACGTTTTACACTATTTTCATCCAGTGTTCTGTCCATCAATTACAGCTCGCCCTTTTTAGGACAGCACTTCCGGGCTCCCTTAGGAATGCAATTGCTCACAAAGAGGAAACATTGGTTTTTTTTCTCCCTACAGTAACCGTCAAGTCATTTAAAAAAAAAAGGAAAAAAAAGAGAAAAATTTGTCTGGAAAAAATAAATAATTACCTAAAAATTCTGTTATTAAAAAAGTTTTCAAAAAAGTTTTCAAAAAATATAAATACTCCGGAAATCCTTTTTAAAATTCGGAAAATTTTTTTTTTGGTTCAGGGGAAAAATTACAATAAATAATAATAATTAAATAAAATATTAAAAAATGTTATTTTTTTCGAATTTTTGAAAAATAATTTTTCGACTTTTTTTAAAATAACTAGTTTTTTTTTCAACTCAAAGGTTTGCAACTGATTCCAAGTTTCATTGATGTTTGAAGTCGACTCTTAAATAAATACTAGTTACGCTTTGATAAAATTATGTTTTTTTTTTGCCTTCAAGTTTAATGATGAATTTATTTAATATTCCATATTTTTAATTGAATTTTCCTTTTTTTCTACAAAAAAAAAAAATTTTCTTGTATTCTAGGATGAAAATTCTTCAGCTTATCTTGAAAGTATGTCGGATTTATTAGCAATGTACATAGACATGGAACTGAGAGCGTCTAAAAGAGGACAAGAACAATTCAGTGCAATTTCGACTCGACTAATTTGTTGCCTTTATACGTACCTTGGTAAGAGAATTTTTTTACATAATTTTGCAAAAAAAAATTTAATTTACTAAAAAAAAAATAATAACCTGCATTTTTATTTTCCAGATAATTCCACTGATTATATGGTTGATACTTTAATCAAGATTCGACACATGAGTCATTTATTTCATATTATTCTCGATCCAATTATGGAGTAAGTTATTTTTTTTTTTTTTAAATTAAAAATAATTAAAAATAATTTTTTTTTTATTTATAAAAATTTTGTTTTTTAGGAAAATTTTAAAAAATATTCCCCAACTACCAAAGCAGGAAATAGTTTACGTGAGATATTTACTTGGTTTTCGATTATGGAAAATGATTAACAGCGATTTAATTGGAAAAAAACAAATTCGACAAACTGCTGTTTCTTTATTGGGAACGGCACCTTCAAATTTACCCGATTTTTTAACGAATTATTATAATAATTGTTCTGGCTCACAAATGAGATCACCTCAATTTTTAATGAAACACAAATTTGACGTGAAAGCATGTTGCACTGATTTTATTAATTTTTGCAAGAGAGAAGCAGAAAATTGTCCTCGCGCTGATGAAAAAATAAATCATCTTGAACGAGTACAAGATCCACAGCAACAAGTGGTAAGGAAATTTTAAATAATTATTTTTTTTTTCCTAAAAAAATTTTTCTTCATTAAGAAAATATTTCCCTATTTTTAATAGATTAAGTATTTTCATGTTTCTCATTTTTTTTTTCTGTTTTAATTCTTAGCACAGTGACGTCATTGCCAAAGAATCTAGTTCAATTAAAAAAATTTATTCTTTATCAGAAAAAATTGTTAATAATGAATCTAATAATAAATCTTGTGCTTTGTTAGTTGAAAATAGTGATAATAATTTAAATAAATCTAATCTTTCAAATAATTTAAATAGAATTTCAATTAGCGATGATACCACGAGTAGTGTTTCAACAAAAGAATCAATTCAATTTATAAAGCCATTATCAAGGAGAAAATTAAAAAAATCCAATGACATTATTATTATTGATATAACTGATGAAGATTCAGCACCGAAGATAACAAGAAAGAAGAATCGCAAATTAATTCCATGGTTGGAAAAAGTGAAAAAACAAAATTTACAAAGATTAAATGGAGAGAAAAAAGAGAAGAAAAATGATAATAATAATTTAATTGAAATAATGAAATCGCCTGCTGAAGAAATTCTCAAATGTTTATTAATGGTAAACGATGATAATGATTGTGAACAAAAAAAAATTGAATCAAATCTTTATACATCATTTAATTCATGGATTTCATTTAATAATAAAAATGAAATTATTGCTATGGATTATTATCAATTTTTTGATGAAGAAGCAAGTGAAGATTCTTCAAATTCTGAAAAAATTATCATATCTTCACCAATAATAACAGACTTATCCATAAAATCAGTATTAAATAGTGATAGAATTAATTCTAGTAATAGTGACGAATTATTAACAGATAATGAAAAATCAAAGAATTTAATTAAAAACGAAGAAGAAAATATGATTTCAAGGCTCGATGATAATACAAAGACTGATTTGCAAGAAGAGGCTGTTTTGAATAATTTCGAAGGAATGTCCATTATTAATGAAGAACCAATGAATTCACAATTAAATGAATCAATTGAAGAAAATAGAAATATTCCATTGGATTGTTCAGCAAAAATTTCCAATGAATCATCATCATCAAAAATTTCATCGGAAAATTTAAATTTTTCAAATCGTACATTAGAATCAAATATAATTGATTTTTCCACAAATACAATGGATGTAAATTTACCCAATCTTTTAGATTCCCCATCATTAAATCGTCCTTCAAATATTGTACATACAAATTTTTTTAATTCATCAATATTAGAAACAAATTTTTCATATCGCGATACAAATTACAATGATTCGTCAAATATTGTTGATTATACATTGCCAAAGGTTAAATTAAATAACATTGAAAATGAAACAATTTATTCATCATTTCAAGAAAATGCCGATGCATTATCTGTATTGGCATCTGTTTGTGCAGCGCAAAAAGGCAATAATAATTCAACAATAAAAGTCAAAGATTACGCACGTTGGAAGGGAAATTCTGATATTGATCAAAAGGCAACTCTCAATCAATTCACAGACAATAGTGACAGTCGAATAGTGAACATATATCCTGAAGATGCATTTGACAAAGTGGCCCTTCAAGTTGAAGTTATTTCAACAAGCGATGGATTACAGGACAATATAACACAATCATTTCGTGAAACATCAAATGTTATATTAAATGGCGAGACTGTTGTTTTAATGCAAAAATCACCAAACAGCAATGTTTATGTTATAAATAAGGCAAAGGAAAATAATAAAACCAGCGATGACGAAACATTTGACGATGAAAAAATAGATGATAACGAAACACAACACAAGGGTTTAATGATAAAATCTGAAATTGATGAGAAATTATTGCGAAATGATGATAGTATTAAAAAAAATGAAATTAAAGATAAAAAGAATAAAAATTTATATCGTCAAAATGTTAAACAAGAATTTATTAATTGTACCTGTGGTATTCCAAATTGTTCATTAATTTCTCATGATAATTCACAATTACCATATTTTTCCACAAATCCCGAACTTTGTGTACCATATCACAAACATGTTCCTCTAAATTTACCAATAAATTCATCAGCTACACGTTGTAATTGTTTAGCATGTACCTATGAAGTTGTAACACATTGTCATCAATATATTCATCCAAATACCGAGCCGACATCATTTATTGAAAATAATTCATACTTTATTCAACAACAAACATCTGCCGTCCAAGAGCACGAGAGATCAAGAATTTCAAATTTATACGACGATCAATTATGTTTAAAAATTGAAAAAACCAAAACAATTGATGATATTAGTATGAAATTTAAACCGGAAATAAAATATCAACGTGAAATAAATAATAAATTACCACTTAAGAAAAGATTGAAAGCAATACAAAAACCCTACGATATGTCAATAAAAATGGAGAGAAATAATTATTCAATTGAATTACAATCAACAAATGTTACACCACCGGAAATTGGTGCAACTGTTGAATTAACAACAACAAAGGATAATTCATCAACATCAACACAATCATCACCAATTGAAAATCGTCATGATATTAGACGAGATTATGATTATCATTATCAAGATGATCAAAGTAAAGATCAAAGAAGATTGGCAAATAGTCAATTGAGCAATGTGCCACATTATCATGATTCACGTTACCAAAGAGATATTAAAACAACAAAAGGGAATTCACCATTAAAACGATTATCAACAGCAACAGTAACGGCAACAACACCAATTGTACAGGAGCAGACAAATTGTAAAAAAGCTCGAAAATCAACCAAAAAACAAACAAGAAGTTCGAGTAGAAAAATTCCAAAAATAAATTATAATTATTCTGATGAAAAAGATTTGGATCCACCTTATCCAAAACGAAAGAGAAGGAGAACCAGTCGATGATCAATACTGCTTCCAATGAAGATTCACTGTTGTTGAAGATCAAAGGAGACAACATTGCTGATTTTTCAGGCTGTGGTATTTTTAATTTGTAAATAGAGTAGCGAAAAAATGAAAAAAAACAAACTTGTAAATAGTTTGAAGAAGAAAAATTGTCACGACAAAACTAAACATTTGAAGATAACGCTCTGAAGAAATTTATTCAAAACATTTTTTTTTTCATCATTTGAAGAATCATCATTATTTGAAGATGAAGAAACTTGTCATTCCGAAGATCATCACTGAAGATATCGTTTTAATTGTTAAAAGAGTAATTTTTTTTTTTAAAGAAATACTTTTTTTTTTTATTCGTTGCGGTGTAAATTATATCTAAATACGTAAAAAAAAACTTGTGCATAAAAAAGTATCTATAGATATAGACTTTCGTCGTTTATATTTGAAAGTCGAATTAACCTATACTTTTTCGAAAGTCTGAAAAAAAAGATATTAATAAAATATTTTGTAAAAAGAAAAGGGAAAAAAAATCCTATAATGTAGTAAATATATTTATGCAATTAGAGTTATTTAAATTATATGAAAATAAATTTAATTTAAATGCCATTGAATTCGATTTTATATAATCGAATATCAATTTCCGGACAAAGTCGAATTTCAACAGCTGGGTAAATATTTTATTTTTTCTATTTTTCGTGATAAAAAAAAAAAGAAAAACGTTCTATATTTTGTCTAAATGATTCACTTTTTGGTACTAGACAGCTTTTGTTAATTTTAAAATAATTTTAAAAATTTACTTGATATTTTATTAAAAAAATTTCAAGAGATAATATTTGAGGGGCTGATAGTAAAAATGGTTTAAAATAACATTGGGAGCAAAAGTGGGATAAGTGACTTGGGAGCAAAAACGGGTTAAAATGATTCGTGTAATTTATTGATAAATTCATTATATTATCGATTAAAAAATATTAATTATAATAAAATATGCATTTTTTCCTATTGTTAATATTTTTTAATCATTAATATAATGAATTTATCAATAAATTACACGAATCATTTTAACCCGTTTTTGCTCCCAAGTCACTTATCCCACTTTTGCTCCCAATGTTATTTTAAACCATTTTTACTATCAGCCCCTCATTTATAAGAAATAATTATTTTAAAAATATTTCCCAGGTAATTTATTTAATAAATTCTATTTCAATTTTCAGATTATTTTTCTAAGCTGTTTTATTCTACGTTGACTTGTTTCAAGGTATGAAAATTATATTATTATTAATTATTGTTGTCAATTAAAAAAATGGTTTAAAAATTAATTTCAATTTTTTATTTTTTAATTAGTTTTCGTTACTTTTAATAATTCCTTGTTTATTATTTTTAATCGTCGATTTTTATTATTTTCAGATTTGAAAAACTGAAACAAGTTTTTGGAATGAGATCAAAAACAGTCAACATTTTTTAAAGACTGAAGCCTATTGTCAGGTTTTTAAGAATATAAGGGGGAAAGACCTGAATTTCTAAGTCTCAGGAATCGAAAAAAGTGAAAATAAAAGGTGAAATCAATCACTTATTTTGTGTTCAGGTAATACTTGAATTTATTTTTATTATTATATATATATGAAAAATATTTAAATTTTTTTGTTTTAATATAAATTTTTTTTTGCAGATTAATTAGATGTTAAAGAAAAACACGAAGAATACCATGCTATTCAATAAAATGCCGTCAATAAAACTTGCCAAATAAAGCAGATAAATATCATACAATTAGATAATTGTAAGCAACCGAATACTATATAAAACAATAGTCCAGTCAAATAGTTCCGTGTTAAAAAAAAAAGTAAATTCCCGAAAAAAATGATTGTAATTAATGATAAATCAAAAAAAAAAAAAAAAAAAAAAAACAAAAAAAAGAACAAAAATTAGATAGCATGGCTACTTGACTAGTCAGCTTAAAAGTTAAAAATGATGTATTCTTTGAAACAAAAAAAGAAAGAAAAAAAAAATGCGCTTATGAATGAACAAATAATGATAATGAGATCGAAACTGCATGTATACATCCCCTACAATTATTTTTTTTGCACAATATTTTTAGATAAAGGAAAGAAATTTTTTTTTCTTTTCTCACCTTCACCCCCCCCCCCTTTTAAACCATTCCATTAATTAATTATGTGCCAACTAATGATTTCTCATGAAATCTATAATTTAAAAACTAGTGAAAGAAAATAGAAAAAAAAACCATTTGTTTTAATTGAACGGGTTTTTTTTTCAAAAAAAATTTGCTCAGAAAATTAAATTTTATTAATTTATGACGATATTTTTTTTTTAAGTTAAATTACAAGTTTTATATATAGTCATATCCCAATACCTGATCTCAAACCTGTGATGACACTGATAGCTAGCAGCTGTGCTCTAGCGAAAAAGAATTTTTTTTTTTTTTTTTTTTATTTATACAAAAGAAAAATTGCGATGCTTATTGTTTTTGACCTTTATCATTGCCAAATACGTAACAAAAAAAATCTTTGCTGGAAGTGTGTGTATAAAATTTTTTAATTTTTCATTTCAAAAAGAAAAGATCTCCATGTGTAAAAAAAAAAAATTCACACTTCAAAAAGTGAAGATAACGAGTGACCTTCCTTTAATCTACGAATTTATAATAATTAATTAAAAAAAAAAAAAAAAATTATAATTAATAATAGACTGTATTATTAATAATTTTCTTTTTTCTCACTGATTTTCAGTTAATTAAAAGTCTGATAGGTTTTAAGTTCATTCACGTAAGACTAAATTTGAAAAAAATTAAGACTGGTCGATTTTTAATGATCGTGTTAGAAAGAAAAAAAAATTAGTAAAAATTTTAAAAAAAAATATACGGATTATTTAGTGTACAATAAAAGTCGACCAATCGAATATTTTTCCTTTTTTTATAATAAAAAAAAAAAAAAATTGAATTTTAATATGGCATGAACTTAAATTAGATTCGAATCAAAAGTGTACTTTAACATTATTATTATTATTGGATAAATTAAGTAACTCTATTTATTAAGATTAATTTTATTGCGTGTATTTGTGAATTGTGTTGTACGAATGTATAAAATAGATATTAAATAATATGTTGATTGAAAGGCTGATACTTAAGGGAAAAAAAAAAATTATTTACCATGAAAATAATTATTATAAAGAAGAAAAAAAAACAAAGCCTCCTTTATTGTCTGTCATTTGACATTATTGACAGTAATAGAGTATAATGTGGCGAAATTAAAATTATTTATAATATTAAGATCCCTACCACACGCTATGTATAAAGCATTTGTTATATACTATGATTTATAATATGAGAAATATAGTTATCTTTACATTAATTCACGATTTTTCCATGTATTTAGTGAAATCCTTGCCAATTTTCGTTTTTTAAATGAAATTATTAATTAACAATATTTGATTTATTATTATTTTCTTAAAAAAGTAATTAAAATTTTTAATTTTAAAAATGGTTAAGTTTAACATTTTTTTTATATTAATTTACTATTATTTAAATATTACAATTATTGTCTAAAATTAAAAAATTAGATTTTCATTAAATTTCGCATCTAATTTTATTATTAATTGAATGTTAATTTATTGGAAATTATTTTGTAATTTTTAAAATGAAATAATTATAAAAATATTAACAGTTTAAAAGAAAAGAATACAATTGTACAATTTTTAATTCTTTTGGAAAATGATGGTAAAACAGTTTATTTGAAAAATAAAAATTACCGACGTATAAATCTACTTTACCGACTGATGGTAAAACAGGTTTTTTTGGAAAAATAACAAATTGCCGACATAGAAATCTACCTTACCGACTAATAGTAAAACAGATTTTTTGAAAAAGAACAGCATAAAAATTACCGACATAGAAATCTACCTTACCGACTGATAGTAATTTTTTGAAAAATGAAAATATAAAAAATTACCGACGTAGGAATCTACCCTACCGACTGATGATAAAGTAGTTTTGAAGTTTTTGAAAAATTCTAGCAAAATTTCTTTAACATCAGTCGGTAAGGTAGATTTCTGCGTTGGTAATTTTTATTTTTCATTTTTAAAAAAATCTGTTTTACTATTAGCCGGTAAGGTAGATTCCTATGTCGGTAATTTTTATGCTGTTATTTTTCAAAAAATCTGTTTTACCATTAATCGGTAAGGTAGATTTCAGTGTCGGCAATTTGTTATTTTTCAAAAAAAAACCTGTTTTACCATCAGTCGGTAAGATAGATTTCTACGCCGGTAATTTTTATTTTTCAAAAAAACTGTTTTACCATCATTTTCCAAAAGAATTAAAAATTGTACAATTGTATTCTTTTCTTTTAAACTGTTAATATTTTTCAAAAAATCTGTTTTACCATCAGTCGGTAAGGTAGATTTCTACGACGGTAATGTTTTATATTTTCATTTTTCAAAAATCTGTCTTACCATCAGTCGGTAAAGTAGATTCCTATGTCGGTAATTGAATTTCATCAAGAAAGTTTAATACGTAATAAAATTAATTTTTAAAAGAGAGAAAGAGAATTGGTAAATAAAAAAACGGGATGTAATTTAAATTTTTTCGTTTAATAAAATATAATGTTCGATTATCGCTATTTATTAACATAATATGTGTCGAATATTTAAAATAATAATAATAATAATTGTACAATTAACAATCTCTTACAAACATAATACAATAGTAACTTGACGTTGCGTTTATTTATAATGGTAAAGAACTACAATAATAGTATAATAATAATAATAATAATAATAATCATCCAATAATAATAACAATTATTGATCTCATTTGTGATCGTCGTCATAATTCATCATATAACAATCTTAATCACTGAAAATAATTAATAATAATAATAATAATAATAATAATAATAATAATAATAATAATTGAAAAAAAACTAAGTGCTTAAATTTATACTGTACAAATTGGGGGGAAAAAGGGGAACAAGGCCAGATCACACCGAAAATTGCCGCGACAGATGTGCAATTTTCTAGAGAGTTAATAACGACTTATTTATTATATCTTATTTTTTAAAAAAATATAATTCTAGTCCTTTAGTTCAACTAAGGACGAAAAAAAAATTCGGTCTTATTTATCAAGTGCGACAAGATTCTTATAATTATATTTTCTTAATTATTAATTATTAACATTTCCGAAAAAATCTCTCCGATTTTTCACTATTTATAATAATTGTCACACTTTGAATTAATAATTATTTTACTTTTTGTTTTAATTTTTCACAAAATTATATAAAAATTTTAATAATTAAAAAAAAATGTAATTAAATTACATTTAATTTTAAATTTCATTTAATTACAATTATTTTTAATTGAAAAACTAAATTTTTGAATGTAATTTTAATTTTCAAGAATTTAATTTTCTAAGAGTATATTTTTTTAGTTCTGAGTATTTTGTTTTTTATGTTTATAAAAAAAATGTTTTTTATTACAATTTTTTTTACAAGAAAAACATTCTTTTTTCTTGTGATAAAATAATAAAATAGCGTAAAAATCGGAGGATTTTTTCTGATATATTTCAATTTATGTATAATTATGTACAGATTATTAATAAGCGCACTTTAACAAAAAACGTAATATTTATATATTTAAAAATATGAAGAAAAAAATTGTCACACGTGTACGTATATTTAACTGGAGAAAAAGCTCTGGAGTTCTGAAATTAATTTCAGACACAACAACACTCTTTTTGTAAAATTCTTAAATAATTTTTTTTTGTTTATTTCATTTTTGTTTCTAAATTCTTATCAAACTAGCTAACTAAATTATTTTTAGAGAGAAAATAATAAAGACAAGTCTTGGTCCCGTTATCGTTGTTACATATTTATATTAATTTATATATATTTATATATATACTCGTGCTTTCAAAATTCATGTCGCAAAAACTAAAAACTATTCACTAGAAATGAAACTTATATATTTAGATGCGTTATGTAATAAAGAAAAAAAAATAGTTTTCTCCTCAATTTCCTAAGTATATTAATTAACTAAAATTAATTTTTTTTTTATTGAATCATTTATTTTAATTATTCATAATTAATAATTCAATTAATAATTATTAACAATTGTTAAATAATTAAACAAATTAAATCAATTTGAAAAAATTAATTAAAGCAAGTAATTATTAATTAAAATAATTAATAATTAAGAGATTTCTTTTTTTTGCGTGGCAATTTCAAACAGTTATAAAGAAAATACTGTAAAATTGTGTCGAATTCTTTTTATTTTTTTTCACTACCAAAAATCAGCTTTTTTTTTTTTTTTTTTTAATTTTTCAGGTAAAAAATCATTTGAAAATTATATTTTTCAAATTTATTCAGTAGAATAAAATTTTATTAATTAATAAATCCATTAATTTAATTAATGAAATAATAATTATATCTTGTAAAATTTGTCCGGTTCTAATTTAATTATTTTTTTTTATTATTATTAAAAAATATATATAATGTACTGGAAATTTATAATTTCATCTTTTGTTCGTTAAATTCCTCGAGTAAAAGTGTCTCTCGCGATTATCACATAATTCTGCATGAGTAAGTACATTATATAAAAGGAGGGATTTTCAAATTGTTCTCTGCTTCGTCGTTTTGCAGTTTTAAGATTGCCAAAGGGCTAATTTATAGCGTGAAAAGAAAAGAACTTTCTGCAAAAGTTTTATTCCATTGTTTTTTTCAATCATCGTATTTCAATTTTAAAACGGAAATACAATATCTTTGCGAAACGGAAAATTCACGGAAAACTATTATCAGATTTTTTCTTTTTTCAATTTTCACAAATCCGTTTGTTTTTTTTTCCCCTTGATTCTCGTGGGAAAAAAAAATGATAACAGGAGTGTGAAACAGTATTTGAAATGTGAAACGTTTTTTTCTGGGGAAAATTAAAAATTACAATTTTCACATGAAAAATAATTTACTTTTTGAATAGTAATTTTTGAGTAAAAAGAAATAAAATAATTTTTAATTTTATGAAAAACTGCAGAAATTTCTTTTTCGGAATTTATTTTTTTTGTCGAAGTTTTGCAATTTATAGCGGAAGTCTTGGCCAGATTTTGGTAGGAAGTTTTTAATTTAAAACAATTCTTATAAACGGAGCAATTCGGGTGCTCGATAAAATTAACTAAGTACACCTATAAGGTCTAATACTTTTTCCAACCCTGACGCTATTGTAATATTCCTCTCGGAACTTGGAATTACATTTTCCCAAAATATAATTTTGAGCCTGGCTTATCGCCAGGAGAGTCTCCATTGGGTAAATAGTCCTTTGGATCGTTTGGTTCTTTTTTTTTTTTTCTTTTTTTTTGAAACGCAATGGTATTTAAACGTCGAATACCGATTTTTCTTTTCTTTTTCCAAAATAAATTTCCTCCCTCGGTAGAAAGTGTTGTAAATAAACCTCGAGTTGGAGAAAGGCGGATGTGTCTCGGTAAATCCAAGAGGATCTTTGGAGCAGGATCGAGAGTTTTTTTTTTTTTACGAGTCTTTTCGATTTTCCCATTCTGAGAATCCAATCGATTCAGAAAAGCAGCCAGAATTTTGTTTTTTCAATTTTCTATTTACAAAGAGGATTTCAACCCTCTTTTTCTTTTCAAAACAATTGAAGATCTTTTTCTTCCTTTCTCTAGAAAAAAAATTGAAACTTTTCAAATTTTTTTAAATAAAAGATTCATTTTTTTTTTATTTTTCCTTTTTAGTTAATTTTGTTTCCTCTTTTGAGGTCGATTGATTTCAGAGGAGTTAGGACGAGAATTGTTTTTTTTTTTACTCTTTTTATTCAAAGATGAGTGATGATGATGTCGTCGTCAATGTCATCTTTTTCATCATCCGTTTCTTCGGGTTGATTGGCATCCGCTTGAGCTGCTTTTGGATCCTCGGCAATGGCTTTGAGCCTTTTTTGTTTACGCCAGTGTAAAATTTCAACGACCAAATAACCCGCTGTACCGAGTACAAGAACCGATAAAAGAGCATAGAGTTTCATTCTTGCACAAAGATGTGTACTGTAGGCGTATGCCACGACAAAACCTGCACTCTCCCATAGTCGATAATTTGAAAATGCCGCCTCTTTGTTGCGCCTGAAGAGCGTTCCGTAGAGTCCTGGAAAAAAAAAAATTATTTCGTTTTTATAAACTATAATTGCTATTTTTTGGGAATTTTTTTATACTATTTGTTTATTTGTACTCTAAACTAAGTGCCACAACTATTTTTTTTCGAATTTTGTTAAAAAAATTTAATTAGATTTCTGCATTACCGACTGAGTGATTTTTTAAATTGAAATAAAATATTTGCAAAAACTATATTTTTATCAAATATAAAACAAAACTGGAAAATCAAAATTGGGTTAAAATTATTTATATTAATTAAATTCCTTGAAAATATTTTTTTTAAACGAAAATTATTTCGTTTTTGTAAACTATAATTGATATTTTTTGGGAATTTTTTTATAGCATTTGTTTATTTGTACTCTAAACTAAGTGCCACAACTATTTTTTTCGAATTTTGTTAAAAAAAATTAGATTTCTGCATTACCGACTGAGTGATTTTTTTAAAATTGAAATAAAATATTTGCAAAAACTATATTTTTATCAAATATAAAACAAAACTGGAAAATCAAAATTTGGTTAAAATTATTTATATTAATTAAATTCCTTGAAAATATTTTAAACGAAAATTATTTCGTTTTTGTAAACTATAATTGCTATTTTTTGGGAATTTTTTTATAGCATTTGTTTATTTGTACTCTAAACTAAGTGCCACAACTATTTTTTTCGAATTTTGTTAAAAAAAATTAGATTTCTGCATTACCGACTGAGTGATTTTTTTAAAATTGAAATAAAATATTTGCAAAAACTATATTTTTATCAAATATATAACAAAATTGGGTTAAAATTATTTATATTAATTAAATTCCTTGAAAATATTTTTTTTTACAATAATTATTTGTGTATTTGAAAAATTCTTTTTTTTTTTTTGAGGTCAATTGGTAGTCGACGAATACCTTGATTTAGATTTGAGAAAAAATGACGTTTTTTTTTTTTGCGGAATCAATTAACAATTTGTTTCCTTGTAATTAATATGGAAAAATCATTGAATAAAATTTTTTTAACAAAGAAAATTGCAAAATATTAATTAAAAATAATAATAATTTAGAAAATAAAGTTTAAAAAAAAATTTCAATTCGAATAAAATCAGTTACGCTTTTTTTTTTTCCTTTGTACGACAAGGATGAAAATTAGAGGGGGGGAGGAAAAAAAATAAAACTTGTAACGAACAAACAAGTATCCTTGACCAGTCTCTTAACAGAAAAGTAGGTATATATAATTGCTATGGTGATTACGACAAACAGAGTCATATAAAGTTGTGGCGAGAATTCAAAAAAAAAAAAAAAAAAAAAAAAAAAAATTTCATATATGGAGAATAAAAAAAAATATTTAGTAAGATGGAAGAGGAAATATATGTACCAGTTCATTATCAAGATAAAAATCTATGATCAACAGTAGCGAAACAATAACGTTTCATCTCTATATAGACAAATATTATACATTTTCATTTATCTCGAGTCTTGAAAATTATTGTATATACAATGTAAACACATTTATCGTCCTTGCTGCATTTTGCCGCGGAAAACCCGCAGTTTTTCGCATAGAAAAAAAAATTATGAAATACAAAACATGAGTTTCAAATTTTTTTTTTTTTTTACGCAAATTAGATGTATTCGAGCAGAAAATGTGTTGTGATATTGTTTTTTCCGGTGTATGTGGGAAAAAAAAATTACCATTTTTTTTATAGCCTCAAAAAATTTTGAAATTATTAAATTTTTATTATTTAAAGAATAAACATTTTTTTTTTTTTAGGAAAAATTATAATTAAAGATAAAATGAAAAATTTTCGAGTTTCATATAATTTACAAACAAAAATTGAATTTTATTTATTAATATGGATTTGATAAAAAAAAAAATTGAAAATTATTTGCGAATCATTTAATGAGACTTTTTAACGTTTATATTGAAACAATTTTCAGTTTCTCGTGTCAGTAAAAAGTAAAGATTATGTTTCATGGAGTTAAAGAATTTTTTTCTTTTAATTTTTTTTTTTTTTTGTAATATCTCAGCAGGGATTATCGAATCCAGATAATAAATATAACCAGTTAACTATAAGAACACCTCGAGCAATGCCAGGACTAATTACAAGGAGAAACCGGCTACAGATGGAGATGTCTGCTTTTGCGCCATGTACGAATACAGTTATCTCTAGACTTGGCGTGAACAGGATGATATTTAAAAAAAAAAAAAAAAGTTCCTGATTGGCGAAACCTACTTTATACTTTTGAGAAATCATAAAAATTGTCTATATATTTATTTTCCCCTGCGCGGACATTGACAAGTCCGAAGGACATTTACCCGAGTATATAAAAATGTAATAAAATCTCTTTTTTCTTTAATGGAAAAATGATAAATAAAAATTTTTAATTGAATTTTTATAATAAAAATATAATTTCAATAATTTTTGTAAATAAAAAAAAAACAATAATAAAATATTAATAAAAAAAAAAAAAGATTTGCAATTATAAAAAGATAAATGAATAATTTGCGGGAAAATATAAAAAAGAATAAAAGCTCTGTAATAATAAAAAAAAATAAAAGAAACGAATAAAATATCAGAAATAACAGGAACTAAATAATAATACCAAAAATAAAACACTAATATAATGGTAATAATAATGTGGAAAGAGAAAAAAAAAATAGATAAAGGTCACAATGGGTTTATTATTTTTGAGAAAAACTATGTCCTTACTAAATCATTTTAATGTTGCCCGGAAGTATCGTGTAGAATAACGATATTATAAGAGGAAAAAAAAAAAAAATGAGTTGAATGAAAATTATACAGATCTTGCGTGAACGTGAAAAAAAAAGAATTATATGTGCCATTTTTATTCTTTAATTTTTTATGCCAAAATTTTTCACGAAGATAATATTTTTTCTTTTCTTTACTTGAGTTTTTTTTCTTTACTCTTGAATTTTTTTCCCATTTTTAATTTAGAAAAAAAAAATTTTTTTAAATACCAATTAGGTACAAAAAAAAGTTTTTTTTTCCATTAAACAATTATTTTTTCAATTTGTTCGTTTTAATAATTTATTTATTTATAATTAATTTATTTAATTTTTTAATTTGGTGGACAGAAATTGAGTAAAAGAAAAATGAATAGATAAGGAGATGGTAAGCATGGTACCTGTCACTTTAAGCTAGACCTCTACTAACTTGCAACTTTCTAAATGTTGTTGGTATTCATGAATGTTCAGAATGTACGTGCCAGAGTGAGCGTTCAGTGCACGTGTTAGGTGTTACACCCAGTAAAATAGAAAAAAATTTATAAAAAAAAAAAATTAAAACAAAAAAAAATTTTGTGATTCAATTCGTGGTGCAACTTGCATATTGTAGTGTGGCACAAACGTTTTCTATTTTTTTTTAAATATAAAACAAAAAATATAGATAAAAAAAGTCCCGTCAACTTATTAAATAAATAAAAAGTACAATTTTTGTTATTTCTTTGTTTAAAAAGAATTTTTTTAAAAACAGAAAAAAAGAGAGAAAAGAAAAAAAAAGTAAAAGGATATAAACGAACGACCTCGTTCATTTTCAGATTTCACTGCTGAAAAAAGAAAAACACCCCGAGATGATAGTGACTACTTTTGCTTAATCTCCGCTGTTGCAAATTGCTACTTTGGCTCATTCATCATTTCAAATATTCTGACTGACTTTTCTTTTCTTAGTTTTTCTTTTTTTTCTTTTTTAAAAATATTTGTAAAAAATATTTTTAAAAAATAAAATATTTTTAAAAATATAAAATTAATTTAATAAAAAACAATTAAATTAATTTTTGAGATTGAGAGAAAAATTAATAATGAATATAATTACCATTGACTTGTGTTTGCCAAACGGCATCACCAACGCCCCATAGTCCAGATATTGTATAAAAAATATAAGGATTATCAGGATGTGGTTTCCAGGTGAGAAGAACCGCAATTAATGATGCATGAACAATGGCACCGAGTGCCATCACTGGCTGACGGCCAATAAATTTCATTATCGATCCAAAAAGTAATGAACATCCAGCATTCACTACTCCAAAACAGATCATCACATAACCAACTTTGTGAACTCCCAATGCACACGAGATGTAAGCCTGAAAAGAAAAAAAAAGACAACTTAAAAAAAAAATTCACCTTTCATTATTTTTCAATTCAGCGAATTTGTCCGAATTTTTATTTGTTTGAATTTTTATTTATCCGAATTTTCATTTACACGAATTTTTATTAGTAAAATATATTTGTAAACGCTAATTTTTTATTTGACCGTAATTAAAAATGTCCGAACAAACATAACCTTCAAAAAAAATTTCGGAGCAAAGAAAAATAATTAAATTTGGCTAAATTGAAGATTATTTAGTAAAAAGAAAACTTTCTATGAAAAGAGAATAGTAATAAATAATTGAAAATATTTTTTTCTCCCTGAAAATAATTTAGTTGTTCTTTATTACAAGGATTTATGATAATCATCCTCAAGGTACTTTTTTTTCATAATTTATCGAATAGAAAACACTATTAATCTACGAAAAAAAAATTTTTTTTTTTTATTCTTACAACTCTTCTCCTTGTTGCAACTATTTATTTGTTTTTTTTTCTTTTGTTTACAACCGGCGATCATCAATTAATGATTCTTTATCAATTCTTGTATAATTAATCTCTTTATTTTATTTCCATGAAGGACTTGACTTGACTCATTAATAAACCTCTCACAATTAATATTCAATTGATAAGAAATTTATTTTTAATATTATTGTTAAACAATTATTTATATTTAACGTATTTTTATTTAAATTTTGTTTAATACAATAATAATATGTAGAGTCTTAATATTTAGGAGGAAGTGTTAGGTAAAAAGATTTAGAAGTCAACGTAGCTGTGTGGTTATAGTACACGGCTCGCGTTCCAAGGGTCTTGGGTTCGATTCCCCATGCGTGCGAGATTTTTCAAAATTATTCTCAAGTGTTTTATATACTGTATACGTAATAGTATTAAAATTACAATTATTAATTAAAAAAAAAAATTATAAAATAAATATAAATAAAAATAAATGAATATAAAAGAATAAAAAAAATTAAAAAACAAATATAAATAAATACAAATAAATATAAATGAATAAAAAAAAATTGAAAAATAAATATAAATAAATGTACCTAAATGAATAAAAAAATAAATTAAAAAATAAATATACATAAATATAAATGAATAAAAATAAATAAACAAAAATAAATATAAATAAATAAAAACAAATAAAAATAAATATAAATAAATAAAAATAAATAAAAATAAATAAAAACAAATATAAATGAATAAAAAATATATAAATAAATATAAATAAATATAAATAAATAAATATAAATAAATAAAAATAAAAATGAATAAAAAAATAAATTAAAAAATAAATATAAATGAATAAAAAGAAATAAAAATAAATAAACAAAAATAAATATAAATAAATAATAACAAATAAAAATAAATATAAATAAATAAAAATAAATAAAAACAAATATAAATGAATAAAAAATATCTAAATAAATATAAATAAATTAAAATGAATAAAAAAGATAAAAATAAATATAAATAAATATAAATATATAAAAATAAATAAAACAAATATAAATGAATAAAAAAATATATAAATAAATAAATAAAAATGAATAAAAAAGATAAAAATAAATAAATATATAGAGATAGATATAGATAAATAATGTAAAAATAAAATCACAAGATAGGGCATTTTATAGGAAGACTAACGAGGCCCTGATAAGTGTTTCCCTAAGCAAATGCCTGCATAATTTCCGTTTCTATAATTCGCATAAATCTCACTGACCCTGATTTTTTTTTCTCTAATCTTTTTCCATTATAGATTGTTTCTACTCGTTTTTCTAGTTTGATAAGTACCTTTCTCTCGTCATGTGCCCTTGGACAAAAGAATAGAAGTTATTGAATTAATTATATATACGCACATTTCATTAACGTAATTTATTGTTACTTCGTTGTAATATGAGAATTTTACTGATTTTACTTCCTTATGTGTTTAGAAAATAAACTTTTTCTTTCAAAAATTAATTTTCCTTTTTTCAAGGCGTAGGAATTTTAATATTAATTTTTCCAATTATTTTATTATTAAAAATAAATAATAATAATTTTTAAATTTATTTTTAATAATAAAATAATAATATTATAGTTTGATTAAATATTTTCCAAATGAAAATTATCATGGAAAGTGAAAAAAGGAAAATTCAACTTACACTTTCTGTTTCATTCTTCTATTTTCATTTTCTCAGGAAGAAAACGATAAAACTTTTTTTCTTTTTTTCTTTTTTTTTTATAAATCTAAATCGGTCTTTTCTTGGGTGTCCGCGAAGGCCTTACTTTCTAGTTCAACGACTCGCGAGTTATATATATGTACGTATCTTGAAAATGTCGATGAAGAATCCTACCGGCTGATCGTCCTTCTTTGCCTTTCTCGTCCTCTTTTCGAAATTCTATATATATATATATATATTTATTTCCCAGTGCAACTTGTTGCGTGTATGTTGCATTTCTCATATATAGTTAATCCTCGTCCCTCTTTTTTTCCGAGCGCTTATCCTGACAAACCAGATCTATTCTTAGAACTAAGAAGTATAATTATTATCAGTACATGTATATATATATATATATATATATACCTGTTGTGTGAATATTATACTACTACTGACATATTTTTTACTGACTCATTTTTTTTCTTATTCTTTTTTCATTAGTGGCAGACAGTATATAGACTCGCTTATCTTCTCATCCAAATCTCCGACACGCTTCTTCGTTTTTTTTTTAAACATTTCTATTTTACAATCGGATAATAATCCTTATTACCTTATTAGATATGGTCGAGGCTGTCACTCACGAGAATCAGGCTTTGACTTATTACGTACTTACATAAGTGTAGTACAGATGCAATTTTTGTAGCAAAAATATATCTATTTATTTATATCATAATTGAGGACATATGATACATTCTAAATGAAAAATATTTTTTTTTACTCTCAATTGTATTAATAGGGGGCTAAATTAAAAAATTAAAACGTTAGGGGCTAAATTTTTTTTAAAGAAGAGAAAAACTTATTCAAAATTATTTTTTGTAATTTATTAACTTTTGGAAAATTCTTTTGTTTCGATTTGTTTTTTTTCTCTCTCATAAATCACAAAATTAGAATTTATAAAAAGGAGTAAAAAAAAAGGCACGTGAATCAGTTAAATAAAATGTGGGTCTTATCAATTAATAAACAAAGCCTCAAACCTTTTGTGCATCTAATATATATATCTATATAGTTATTGGAATTGCTACGTACTGTATTTATATAAATAACGTTTACTCTATATTTTATTATCACGACAGTAGCTCAGAGCAAATTAAATAACAAGTTTACATTCACTGTTGTCAAACCTGTCTTGTCAGAGTAATGACCGCCTATAGGTGTGAAATAAGCTCTTCAAGATTATTAAAATCTCTGCACTATATATATTGATTTACGTTCTATATTTATATATTCAAGCACACTGAACTCTATTAACACATTTTTCTCTAATTATAAAATTATTAACCGTTTCTGCAATTTTTTTTTAATTTTTAATTTTTACAATTTCTTGAATAAATTAAATATTACTAATTTGACGTGTGTAGTATAATAATGAAATTTTAAATAGAATCGAATCAGATGTAATCGAAAAAAAATGTTATTTTATATTTTTTTTTAACTTTTAATTATGTTTCTCTGCTATGAATTTATTTGTAATTATTTAATTGAATATTTTATAATTTTTTTAATTTTAATAACTTTATATTATGTTTTTTTTTAAATAAATTATTTAAAAGATTATAAACTGTAAGTAGAGGTGAAAATTTAAAAAACATCTAGTTTTTTTGTTACCACAGAGTGTAGTACAGTCTTTAATATTCAAAAAGAAAGGGAAAAAATTTAGAAGTCAACGTAGCTGTGTGGTCAAGGTACACGGCTCGCGTCCCAAGGGTCTTGGGTTCGATTCCCAGGGCGTGCGAGATTTTTCAAAATTATTTTCAAGTGTTTCAGGTACTGTATACGAAATAGTATTAAAATTACAACTATTAATTTAAAAAAATTAAAAAACAAATATAAGTAAATAAAAATAAATATAAATGAATAAAACAAATTAAAAAATAAATATAAATAAATATAAATGAATAAAAACAATTAAAAAATAAATGTAAATGAATAAAAAAAATTAAAAAATAAATATAAATAAATATAAATAAATATAAATAAATATAAATAAATATAAATGAATAAAAAAAATTAAAAAGTAAATATAAATAAATATAAATGAATAAAAACAATTAAAAAATAAATGTAAATGAATAAAAAAAATTAAAAAATAAATATAAATAAATATAAATGAATAAAAAAAATTAAAAAATGAATATAAATAAATATAAATGAATAAAAAAAATTAAAAAATGAATATAAATAAATATAAATGAATAGAAACAATTAAAAAATAAATGTAAATGAATTTAAAAAATTAAAAAATAAATATAAATGAATAAAAAAAATTAAAAAATAAATATAAATAAATATATATGAATAAAAAAAATTAAAAAATAAATATAAATGAAAATAAATATAAATAAAAATATCACAATATAGGGTAGTTTCTAGGAAAACAAATAGGACCCTGATAAGTGTTTAATAAAAAAAATAAATAAATAAAATGAAAATTCTTTATCCTGCAAAAAGTAAAAAAAAATTGTATAAAGAATAAAAAAAAGTTCATACAGTTGGCAACAGTAAAGGACATCAATACTGCAGAAGTATATATATATATATAAAAGAACCAGGAGTCTGAAGATAGTGAAGAGGGCAAAGTACCAAGACATTCCCATCCCAGTATGGGAACACGCCTGCTCTCAGGATCAGATATAATAAAACTGCAGTTTATTTATAGAAAATTCTGCGTGAGTCAACGGTAGCAAAAAAATCGGCAACTGGCACCCTCTCGGTCTTTTAATCATCCAATTAAATATACGTTTTAAGGCTTTCAGAGTAAGAGAGAAAGAGGGCAGACCAGCTTCCCTCTTGTC